GGGAGGGATGGAGAAAAAGAGTCTCATCTTGCAAATATTTATATTGTATAGAGCAGCTTATTTCTACAAGAAAAAAAGCATTTTTTAAACTCTGACAAAAGTATACAGCAGTTTCAGTTCTGGTTTTTGTGACCTTTTTCAGGGATCATTTCAGTGCATTTCTGTATAAAATAAAAATTTAAGGAAAAAAGGATTTTGAAGTTTAAAAAAAAATGCATCTTCTGTACATAGGCAAACTTAAGAATCTTCTCTTCAAACACTGTTTCTTGTAGAAACATGTTGAAATTTTTTTGCTGATTTCTTTGTACTTCAAGAGCATGTAAATAATTTATTAAAAGTGACTATTGTAATTTGGAGTTCTTTTTAAAAAGATTCCAGCTCTAACTCGTGTCAGGACGACGGGGAGGGGGAAGGAATGCATATAGAAAAAGAGCTGGCGGCATTTACAGCTTGTGTCAAGCTTTGTATAATGTACATTCTGTATAAATTTCTTTTTTTTGTCAAATAAGTAGATGAAATTAGAAGCATTAAGAAACTGAAGACAAAAAAATGCCAAGTTGAGGCTTCCTTTTTTTTTTTTGGCAGTCTGAAACCTAACGTGCAAAATCTATTTATTTCAAGCGAGGAAATATGTATAGTCTATGAATAGACAACCTAAAACGTATTTAAGCAAATTTGCAACTGGATTTTTTTTTGTTTAATGCCCTCCTTAATTGCCACTATTGTATTTGTACAAGTGAAAAGAAACACATTGTAAAGGACACTCTAAATCCAATAGGCAGTTTAAAAAATGAAATCTAAAACTGCCCTCATTCCTTGCTGTTTCATGGCTTATGTAAACAGGTTGTTTTAATTCACAGTGTGAAAGTAAAAGGCCTCCTTTAAAAGGAGGCAAGTAAAATGGTTTGCAATAAATAAAAATTCTGCTTTTTTTTTAAGTTCCTTTTTTTAAAAAAAACAAAACAAAACAAAACTGCTTTGAAGATTTAGGATTTCTGCTTTTTTTTGTTAAGCAAATTTATAAATTTAGGGATGTTTTGTGCATATAGAATCTGTCATCAGTATGTATCTTGTTTTGAAGAAAGTGTTTTTGTTGTGGATGTGTCATGCTGTATATATTTGTTCATATTTTTGTGAATTGAATACTATGTACCATTGTATTATAGTAACTTTTATAAAGCAAACCATAAATATACTGACTTTTCTTACAGAAAAAACGACATTGTGCTTACGATTTTATTACAGTAGCGCCTAGTGGTAGGTCCCTGCAGAGACTGGGACTCGGCAGTGCACCAGCTCAGTAAGGCTGCCCCGCTCCAAGGTCTGCTCATGTTAGCAGGTGGGGCACGGCGCAGGATTAGTGCAACAACGTAGAGCCCAGCTCGTAGCCCTCTTCCACGTGAGTATTCCCATTGACCAATGTGCAATCCTGTACTGACGCACTAATGTACAGTCACATACAGCATGCTGGTAAGGACTGACTCGAATCCCAGGTTGTGAGATTGCGCCCAGGCTTTGCACCCTCGTATCCAAAGGTGTCACAACTGAACTTATGCAAACATAGATGCCCTAGATTTGCCGGCCAGAAGGGGCCATTATGATCACCCAGTCTGACCAACTGCATACGTCTTCCTGAGCTACCATTGCAAACTGGCTTTCCCTTTACAGCTGCTTTTTAGTGCTTGTGGTTGATCATGGTCATGTTGGAAGTGTCACGGAGCCACAATCTTATTGTTCGCATATTTTGTTTGCTGCGTTAAACCTAAAACGAACGTTGCCTGCCTTTGACAGGAGAAGGAAACCAAGCGGCTTGGTCTATCAAGGAAGTGGCAGAGCTGAAGAGAACAAACATGGGTGCCTTGACGCCGTTCAATCATTTACCCCTTCTAATAATTATTTTTAATAGTGTGGCAATACCCAAAAGATGCTAGCTTCTCCACATGCTCGTCAGAAGAGACGGACGCTGCCTCCAAGAGCTTTCAGTTGGGAAAGAAAATGCAGCCGGGGAGAGCGGGAGCCTGGGGAAGACGGCTTCCAGCAGCCGAGCTCTGGACTAAGGTGAGAAGCCGTCTCCATCCAACTCCCCCTTCCTCGCCTCTACAGGGGGTCGTAATGGCCAGAAATTTCACAGGGGGAGACACAGCCGCTTAGGTGCCTAGAAGGGGGATTTCCCATACGGTTGTGCAAGGCATCTTCAAAACCAGCCCATGCAGCCCAAGCCTGCTGTCCGCTGAGCAGGGCACCACGTGGCCCCGGGGATGGCTCAAAGCGGGAGGAAGCCGCTCCGTGGGGACGGGCTGGCGTGGTCCCACCAGGCTGTGGGTATTTACCTGGGGAAGAGCGAGTGGTATTTACCTGCTGGGCTCGTCCTGCTGCTCTTCCACCCCGTCCGCAGGTAAACGTGGCCAGGTCCGGCCCCTGCTCCCCTTCGCCGTCCTCACCCCCCATTCCTACCAGGCTGGAGCTGAGCAGGGAAGGTCAAGAGGCTCTGCCAGGGCTACCTTGGGGCCAGGCGGCACAGAGTGACATGCTGATGGCCCCGGGTGAGGGGCTCGGGGGAGCAAGCGATAACCGCCACGCTGGTTATCCCCCCTCCGGCCTCCTTCCCCAGCAGGCAGGGGCTCCTTCTCCCTCCATCCTCTTCCTTCCCTTCCCTTCATTATTGACCATTATGGAGTTT